ACCCACCAGGTTGGTACCTGAGCCAGGGGTGTGGCTATTCTGTCTTGTGCGTGGCAGGCCACTTGTAGCACCGTTGGCACAGCCATTCCTACTGGAGGGAGGGAGGGGGCGACCGGTGTCAGTCAGCGGGAGGGGAAGGCATAACGTCCCGCCAGGGAATAGCAGACCGTCACCCGCTTCTCAGTGTCTGGGTTTTGTGGATGGGAGCCTTGCAGAGCTGTGCAGGGAGCGCCGTCTAGATGATAGAGACCTGGTTCGGTTCACAGCTGTACCTCTTGCCAGGGAAGTAATTAAATCTCTTCGATCCTTATCTGGATCCATTTGAAGTGAGATCTCTCCGTGGAATGAGCTGATAAATTCCTTCCTGTGCTTGATCCATTTTGAGTTGTTTTTGTCTCATGCTACCGAAAAAGACCTGTCTACCACGACTGTGTGGAAGTTATACAGGGTAGCCCCACGCTGTCCGGCACGTAAGGTACAGACCACAGGCTGGTTTGCAGCATCAGAGCCCCGGATGGCGTTAGGGCGTCTCAGACAGGGTTCTGGAAGAACGGGTGACCGTGACCAAAGAGTGATCTTCCCTGTGTCCATTAACTTAGCCTGGATGTCTCCTGATGTGTGGGAGTCCAAGGGGGGAACCAGGTCTCCATCACGTGGCAGAGTCCCTGCCTGGGTCTCCAAGGCATCTTTGGAGTTCGACCTGGGTTCAGACCCGGCCCCTGAAAGTCCCTGGTGTGGCCTCAGGAAAGGCTTTTTATGTTTCCAATCTCAGTTGAAAAGGAATCACATCTACCGAGTTCCTAGCACAAGTGACAAGGAAACCCTTAATGTCGGCCTTTGCGATTTCAAACACATGCAGAGAAACTGAAGGAGAGGAAGGGAAATGATTAAAGGGATGGGAAATCGCTGGAACAAAGCTTTCAAGAGTGTCCTGCTGGAAGTTTCCCACGTCCCTTTTGCACCCTGCGCTGGTCCACAGAATGGCCCGCCTCAAACACGGCTCTAATCATATCAGCCCCCCACTGCAGACACTCTGATGACTGCTGCTGGCTTCATAAAAGCCCTTGGCTGGAGCTGGCGTCAGCAACCCTTAAAGAGCCCTCCATCCTCCAACCGGCCTCTGCAGTCCAGCCTGGCTTGCCTAACACACGCTCCACCCACGCTGGGTGGTGACCCAGCCTGAGGTCTGTGGGTACACATTTGTGAATACTATGTGCCTTAGAAATGCAGCTCTGAATCTAACATAATTTTGACTACGAAATTTACTCTGGATGCAGTAAAGAGAGGGCTCTAGCTGCTTACAGGGGCCTCAGGAAAATTTATTATTTCATATATTTAGCCAACAGGTAAAATTATTAATGCAGTATAGTTTATCTCTAGTTCGCCATAAGCCCCACCATTCCCTATGATATCACTATGTGCCTTACTTTCTACTTTGCCCCCATATGTGAATCGTTGAGAGAGTTCTTTGTGATCTCCTCTTCAATAAGAAAAAAAAAGTAGCCAACATTTCCACAAGGCGTCTTTTTTGTTTTTCAATTTGTTCGTGAATTTCTTTTAACTTTTAATTTCAGAGGTACATAGTGCAGGTTTGTTACATAGGTGCCAATTTGTGTCATGCGGGTTTGTTGTACAGACAATTTTATCCCCCAGGTATTAAGCCTGGTACCCATTAATTATTTTTTCTGATCCTCTCCCTCCTCCCACCTTCTACCCTCCAGAAAACCCCAGTGTGTCTTGTTCCCCTCCATGTGTCCATGTGTTCTCATCATTTAGCTCACACTTCTAAGTTAGGATTGCAATATTTGGTTTTCTGATCCTGTGTTAGTTGGCCAAGGATAGTGGCCTCCAGCTCTATCCATGTCCCTGCAAAGGACACAGTCACAGAACTATTCACAGCAGCAAAGACAAGGTGTCTTGTTAATGGCTAAAGCAATATGAAGCTTTATTTTTTTATCCTGGTTTAAACGTATGTTTAATTTTACAAATTGGATACGTTATCAATGTAAACGTCTTAACCCAGGAAGAGAGAAAGTTCCCCATGGCTTTTCTTCATCCTTTTGGTCCTAGTCAGGTTTTTGTTTCCTCAGAGGTAAACCTTTTGTCGGTTTGGTGTACATCCTCTGATACCTTTTTCAGATACACGTCCATGGTGTGTGTGGTGAGGGAGAGATGGATGATGCATACACACCTGAGTTACTTATTATCATCTTATGTACACTGTTCTGCATCTCTTGTTTTTCATTAATAATATAGGTTGTAGAGTTTTTAATGTCAAATTATAAGAATCTTCCTCATGCTGTGTCATAGTTTATACTCTGGATGGATCCGTAGTTGACTTGGCTTAAAAGATCAGATACTGGAAGTCGAACAGCCACATTCAGACCATGTATGTATTTTGTTTGACTAGAATCATGTTTTGCCTGTTAAAAACTGAAATGCAAAGGGCTTTAGGTAGGGTAGGCAATCGTTAGTTACCCCCTAGGCCCTGCCACTCCCTATTGTCTCATCCTCTATAGGCATTTGAGTATTCAAACCCTGTACTCTAGCCATTATACTTTTTAAAAAATATATTGCTGTCAGAACAATGCTATGATGGACAGCTATGTGTATGCCTCTTTGTGTTTGTATTTCCCTAAGCTAGATGCAAGAAGTGGCCTCCCTCTAATGGGGGCAATAAAATGGGCCTTGACGATGTAAATGACACAAAGTTAGGAAACACTAAAATTATGAACTGGGAGACATTAGTCGGCTGAAAACTATGTTGCCCATGGAGCTCAGTGAAGCAGAGAGAATAGTTCTGCCCAAGGCTTATAGCTGTTGAATATCCTGTTTCCCCGACGTACTCTTGTTGGTTTTCAGCAGAGAAATACACACATTCATGTGAGGTTATGTAGCCCACGAATCTGGTGTGCTTGTGCTTTAGGGATGTGGCTCATGGCCGCGAAATCAGCTACTTTCGCAGTCCTGAATGGGCTCCAGGAGAGGGCGGGGGGCGGGGAGGTTCCACCCTCTGGCATCCATCACACCTTGAGTTTCCCCATGGTCAGGCACCGAATTCATGGCTTGCCAAGCCTTCAGCCACAGCTCATGGACTCTCTTGGCCGAGGTCAGCCTCAAGTCTGGTCTCCCATTTAGCGGGCTAATGGTGCATGAAAGCTGCTCTGTGGACAGTGAGCTCTGTCTCAGCCCCCCCTTGTCTGATGCCTTGGGAATGAGTACGGGAGAGGCGGTGCCAAAGCCAGGCCAGTGGGAGCTGCAAGGGCTGGTGAGCTACCTCGAGAAGTCATTCATTCTTAAGGCCTTTGTTGGATTCACATCTGTGAGCTGGTATTGGTCTGTGTCTTCATCAGCCTGGACTGTGTAAGGAAACACCATGGATTGTGGCTTAACCAACAGGAACAAATGTATTTCTCATAGCTCTGGAGTCTGAGAGTTCAAGATGTAGGTACCAGCAGAGTTGGTATTTGGAGAAGCCACTTTCATTAGGTTGTAGATGGCTGCCTTCTTGCTTTGTTTTCACTTGGCCTTTCCTGTGTGCAGGTGGAGAGAGAGAGAGAGAGAGAGAGAGAGAGAGAGAGAGGGAGAAAAAGAGAGCGGTGCGGGGTTGGGCGGGGTGGGGGCCGGGAGGGAAGTTCTCTGCTGCTTCTCCTTCAGTGTTTTTCTTTTTTATTTGAGATGGAGTTTCCCTGTTTTTGCCCAGGCTGCAGTACAGGGGCATAATCTCAATTCACTGCAACCTCCACCTCCCAGGTTCAAGCAATTCTTCTGCCTCAGCCTCCCAAGTAGCTGGGATTACAGATGTGCACCACCACATGTGGCTATTTTTTTTTTTTTTTTTTGTAGTTTTAGTAGAGACTGGGTTTCACCATGTTGGCGAGGCTGGTCTCTAACTCCTGACCTCAAGTGATCCACCTGCCTTGGCCTCCCAAAGTGCTAGAATTACAGGCATGAGCCACCACGCCCAGTCTGCTGTCTCGACTTCTGTGGGTACAAATCTCATCACGAGGGTCCACCCACATGGCATCATCTAAAGTTAATTACTTTCCAAGGGCCAGTCTCCAAATATAATCATACTGGGGTTACGGCTTCAGTACTGTACAGGAATTTTGGGGACATAGCTCAGTCCAAGCAGTCGGGTAGGAAAATATGTTTGAGGTTGGCCAAGTCATTCAGGTATAAGGGAAGTTGTAGGGTAGAAAGCTCCTTAACAGTTAATACACAGAGAAAAAGATGTGGTCGCTAGGTAGGAGACCTTTTCTAGGCACAGATGAACAGTGGTGGATGGTGTCTACACCAAATCCTTTGAGGTAGAGTAGGCTTGTAGGTAGAAGCCTGAACATCCACCTGACTTTCCATTGGGTTTAAATCTAATTTCCTCCGCTTAACATCCTGACTTTGAAAAAGTTACCTAACTTGTCCAAACCCCAGTATTTTCATTTATGAAGATGGGCATAAAAGTTATTCTAGGGGTTAAATGAGATAAAATACGTAAACAACTTGGCTCCATTCCTGGCACAACTCTTTATTTCACAATATTTTGAGGAGTTTTGTAAGCATAAAGCTTCTGCTGTTGCTGCTGCTGTTGTTTTTATTTGGTGTTTCTCATAACAGTGACTCGAAACTTTAATGGAAAAAAAAAATTTTAGATGTCTTCGATGCCTTTTTTTTTTTTTTTCGGTGTTCATTTAACCATTATCAGTACACGGGCATTGCTCACAGCCCTCCCCACTTCTTTTTTTTTTCCTGGCAAGACTGTTATAATATGTTGAAAATATTAATCATCCTATTCACCTTATTAGCAGGACTGGATAAACAAATCTGGTTGCTGTGCTTGCTGGGAGAAAAGGCGTGTGTGTGTGGGTGTGTGTGGTGTGTGTTGCAGCCTTGTCCCCTCGGGTCATAACAAATTATTGATGCCAGTTCCTTTAAAAAGACAATTAATCCAATTACCTTCTTGTTGAATCAATACTAATGTCTCTGTTTCCTTTAACTTGCAGGTTTCGGCAAGTCAGGCTACAAGCAAAGTCGAGGTAGGAAATGTGGTTTTTCTGTCCCTTTGGAAGAGAGTTCAAAGTGGGTTTTTTTCATGATGGAATGCGATGAGCACTCCAGCAGTGATTTCTCTGTGTTCGATTTCCTGATGGTTTGGATGGTATATTTTCGGTTGAGTGGTTTCTGTGCTGCTGGGTTTTGGGGTGACCAGGTCACTGCATTGCTCTTTGTGGAGTGTGCATGGTGAAGATGGCGCATGGTGACTTCCGCGTCTGTTCCTCGTTAAATACATCTCAATTCTAGCCCAGCTCAGGCCAAAACCCTGGTTCTACCAGTAAGACCTCCACTGTCTCTATTAGGTTTACCCATTCCTTCTTTTGTGCTTTTTCTTTGTATTTTTTTTCTCTCCATTTCATTTTATTATTGAGTCGCAGTCTCACTCGGTGGCCCAGGGTGGAGTGCAGTAGTGCCATCTTGACTTACTACAACCTCTGCCTCCCAGGTTCAAAAGATTTTCCTGCCTCAGCTTCCCGACTAGCTGGGATTACAGGCATGCACCACCACGCTTGGCTAGTTTTTGTAGTTATTTTTAGTAGAGAGTGGGTGTTTTACCATGTTGACCAAGCTGGTCTCGAACTCCTGAGCTCAAGTGATCTGCCCACCTCAGATGACAGGTATGAGCCACTGTACCCAGCCTGTTTTTCTTTTTCTACTCAGTCTCCAAGGCAGGAAAGAAATTGTGGTGGATGCTGACAACATAGGTAAAGAATGAAAAATGAAACTGGTCAGAAGTCACCAGCAAGGTGACCACCCGTTGGAAATTGTGCATGTTGTAAGGTAATGGGCTTCTGCAAAATATGCCCACCACTACAGAACCAGTCACTTTCACTCCCAAGCCACTGTGTGGGTAAGGCAAAGAACCCCGACCCAGGTCCTGGGAGCCCTGGGCTCTGTGTGATGTTGTGTATCATCATAATGATGCTTAGCGTTCCATTATTGGAACGCTAAGCATGTGGGAGTTATTTATATTCTGCTCAAGGTCATCACCGGTGTCTGATTTTTCAAATTGAAAAACGTGCAACCTCACGTAGTCAACTGTGGTGTTTCGCTTTCCTCGGGTGTACGGTGGAGATCATTTTATCTCCCTCTGATCTATCACATGGTGGTTAGCAGGGTGAAATAGAATAAAGCTTATGGAGGTAGATTCTCGCTGGGTTCTGCAAACACATGTGGGAGATCTGTATCACAAGTCTCCATTCCAGTTAAAGTGTCTGCATCCTCGGATAGAGGAACTTGGTGTGCCGAGGTCTTCCAGGAGCTATGATGCATTCATAGTGTGAGTGCTTTCAGATGCCTAGTGAGGCAGGGATTTAGGAAACACAAGGATAGGGCAGAGATGAGCAGCCTCCACTGTCATACGTGTCCCCGTGATCTTGTGACCAGTCACTCAAGTGAATTATTAAACAACACAAATTGAGTTTCCTCTGTTTTGGAATGGGAGTCACAGTATGCATCCCATGAGGCTGCAGAGAGTCTCCTCTGGGGGTTTGCTGTCATGGGAATACCAGTTGCTGTGTAGCACCTCTGATGCACCATTTGTTTATAAATGCTCTATATGCATTGTTATATCAAATCCTCACAAAAATTTTGTGATGTATAGCTGAGATGATCCCCATTTTATAGAAGAGTAAACCAAGTCTTAAGAAGAGCTGAGTAACTTTCCTACCACCATTCACCTAATGAGGAATAGATCTGGAGTTCATAACCATATCTGTCAGGGTACAAAGTGCCATGCCATGTAAACCAACCAGATTATGGCCTGGTACGCAGTGGGTATTGAATGAATAGTAGCTCTGCCAGTCATAAAGAGCTGATTCCGCTTTCTAGAGCCTACCTGAGTATGTCCTGTTTATCTGTGGTCAGCAGCCCAGACATCCATGCATTTCCTATGATCTTCTGTCTTTCTTCCTTGCCCCAGACACATTCTTTTTTTTTTTTTTTTTTTATTTTACTTTAGGTGCATACTATATCTGGCATTTCTCCTCATGTTATCCCTCCCCCGCCACTGTCTCCCCTGCCGTCTTTCCCCTTTCCTCCCCACCAACTGCCCCCCGCGTGTGATGCTCCTCTCCCTGAGTCCACGTGTTGTCATTGTTCAACACCCACCTATGAGTGAGAACATACGGTGTTTGGCTTTCTGTTCTTGTGTCAGTTTGCTGAGAATGATGGTTTCCAGTTTCATCCAAGTCCCTACAAAGGACGCGAACTCATCGTTTTTTATGGCTGCGTGGTATTCCATGGTGTATATGTACCACATTTTGTCTACTCTGTCATGGATGGGCATTTGGGTTGGTTCCAGGTCTTTGCTATTGTACACAGGGCTGCTATGAACATACGTGTGCATGTGTCTTTATAGTAGAAGGATTTACAGTTCTTTGGGTACATACCCAGTAATGGGATTGCTGGGTCAAATTCTTACATCTCCATTCCTATTTGGCAGTTTAAAACAATCAACCAACAAGAAAACACCTTCACACATGTTGTGCCTTTTCAACTTCACAAGATATTTCTTAACCCCCTTTTACCAATCGATAAAAGGAGGTCTTTCCACATTGGTGGAATAATGTTTAATAATCCAACAATTCCACTTCTACTTGTATGCCCAAGAGAAACAAGTGCTTAAGTCCACCAAAGCAACACATGCAAGAATTCCCATAAAGGTTTTATTTATCAGAGCCAAACACTGCAAACAAACCAAATGTCTGTTAACAGAATAATAGATAAATAGTGTGTTTCATGCAATACAGTACAGCAATCAAAAAATATAATCTATAGATATATGACACAACCTGTATGAATCTAAGTGATATAATGTTATAGGAAAAATATTAGAACAAAAGAATGTGTCATCTATGATTTTGTTTATATATGTACATATACACACATATATATTATATATATAAATGGACAGAATTCATCTCTGCTAAAAGATGTGGACATGGAATATTATATATGTGTGTGTGTGTGTGTGTGTGTGTGTGTGTGTGTGTGTGTATATATATATATATATAGGACCACCCAGATACACAGATAGCATTCATCTCTGATGATAAAAGTAGCAATAATGGTTACCTCTGGGAGAAGTCGGCTGGGTAGGGGCAGAAAGGGGCCTAATGGGAGTGTCAACACTCTCATCTGGATGTATTTACAGAGGTAACCATCACATGTAAAACTGATAGAGCTCTACACTTAAGACATGTGCACCTTATAGGATGTAATTTGTATGCCAAGAAGCCACTTGGCAAGAAGGAAAGAGAAAGAGAAAAGACAGAAAGTATCAACCAGGATGATGGGGTCGGGGGAATGGTCAGTTGATCAGGGTAGGGGAAATGGGATGAAGGTAATTAGGGAGAGTAGGGATGCTTAATGTACAGAAACACTTTTGATCAAACATAGTTTTCCTTCCTTCTTTCATGCTTCCTTTTTTTTATTCCAGTCTCCCATTTCCCAGATGGAACTGTTTTTTTAATCTTTCTTTTCCTCCCAACTGCCATTTCTAAGGCTGAATTAACATTGCTGCAGCCCAATCATATTTTTTTTCACGACGGCAGGGAGGTAACCTTTTATTAATTGAATTTCTAATGGCAATTCATCAAAGCAGGCGATCACCATTATTTAATGCATGATCCATATTCATGGCATGTTCTGTTAGGTAAATAATAGTGGCTCTTGGAAAGTGCTTCTGTGAGGTCCTTTTCCTTTTCAAATGACTTTCTTTTTCTCACCCCTAAGTAGAGACAAACAGTTGTAATTTAAGAGGAACAAACCCCACCTGTGGAGGAGACATTGGTTAAAAGGAGACAAAAAGGAATTACAAACCCACATAATCAGTGAGAATGAGTGGCTTTGCCAGTTCCCTTTCTCTCTGCAGATTGACACTGAATATGTGAATAACGTTTGCTAAATCTGGACTTTGAAAACATGACAGCAAGCTGTTTGTGCCAATAAATTTTCATGGCATATGCCACCCCTCCCTGCACCACACACAGTTTTAATAAGATGGCACATGAGCTATTGAGAAATGTTAAAAACCCTGTGGAGGAAAGAGCTTTATCTTCTGACCAAATTCTGCCCAGCAATGTTTATGACAGCTGAAGAATTTATCTGAAATTCCCTCTGCTAGCCGCAAAGCACCTGGCCCTTTGTCCCCAAGCAGCCTTTAAGAACCAAACTAAGATGTCACATACATAATATAACAGATAAATGGCCCAATTTCCATGTCCACATGATGAATGGAATGCAAGTTCAGCACACACGTATTTGCACATTAATTGGCCCTGCATAGTTCCATTTTGTTCGTAAGTTGCTACTGTATGTCTCGTGGAGTCCTTCCCCTTCAAAATCATTAAGCCTGTTTTATCGTGCAAATGCATACACATTTCCCCCTCTATTTATCGTCATGCAGCCTGCCCTGCTGAGAGAGAACCAAGTTACCTGGGAGCAGCCATCGGATTGCAAGTGCCCATGTCTGAGCTCTCTCCACCACCAACTGTATATTAGCACAGAGATCTGAGACCCAGCCCCACGTTTCCTATGCTAACAGCCAAACAAAGGAGGTTGCAGACGAGGATGTTTGAAGGAAAAAAAAAAATCATTTCACTTACCAGTTGGTTTCTTGCCTCACCTTAATGATTTCCTGTTGATAGTTTAATGGCAGTGTAAACTCAGTGGAGGGCCTCGATGTTGATAAATTGGCCTGCTTTTATTTCATGGCAAAGCAATCGAACCGAGATTGATTGATATTACAGTTTTGCTATCCCAAATAATTGCAATGGCAAACTACACAGACAGCAAACTCAGTGGCCTTGGGAGAATGTAGGTAGACTCTCCTTCCTACCATTTTTTTTCTTCCTTCCAAAAGGAAACTTTATCCTAGGCTTAGGAATCATTTATGTCTTCTGTCTTCCAAGCCTGGTTCTGAGGAAAATAAATGGGGGGGGGGGTGCTGCAGAGCCCATTAAAAATATTCTCAACCGCT